AAATTCTGAGTACTTAAGAGAAAAAAAGAGGAATTCAGGAATATTCTGATTCAGTTCAGCGAAAATCAGCGATTTTGAGGAAAGTCAGCATATTTCACAAAAAATCTAAAATCTTCAGGGAAAATCGGTGAACTTTAGAAATTTTCTGAGATTATCAGAGAAGATCATAAAACTGAAGGAATATTTTAATAACTTCAGAGAAAATCAGCGAACTTGAGGAACTTTAGAAAAGATCAGCAAACTTCAGAAAAAATCTGAAACCTTCAGTTGGTCTTCTCTGAAGGAAGTTGGTCTTTAGGAATATTCTGATAACTTCAAAACATCACCGGAATTCAGCAATGTGTTGAGTTCTTTATAGAAGATCTCAAAACTCAAAACAGAAATATTCGGAAAAGTACAGAGGCAATTTGGGAACTTCAGGGAAGATCCGCAAATTTCAGGAAAAATATGAGAACTTCGAATTTCAGAGAAGATCATAAACCTTCAGGAAAATTCTAAGAAATTTAAAGAATATCACGAAGCATCAGAGAAGATCAGCAAACTTCAGGAAATTTCTAAGAACTTCAGAAAAGATCAGCAAACTTCCAAAAAAAATCTGATAACTTCTCAAAAAATCTGCTAAAATTAGGAATATTCTGAGAACTTCAAGCAAACTTCAGGAAAATTCTTAGAACTTCAGAGATGATCAGAAAACTTCAGGAATACTCTGCTAATTTCAGAGAAAATCAGCGAAATTCAGTAATATTTGAGTTCTTTAGAGAAGATCTGACAACTTCAGAAATATTCGGAAAAGTACAGTGGAAATGTGGAAACTTTAGGGAAGATCAGGAAATTTCTAAAAAAAAAATCTGAGAGTTTCAGAGAATATCAGAAAACTTTAGGAACATTCTGAGAACTTTACAGAAGACCAGCAAGATTCAGTGAAGATCAGCAACCTTCAGGAAAATTTTGGAGAACTTCAGAGAAGACTAGGAATCTTCAGAAAATAACAGTAAACTTCTGAGAACTTCAAAAAAGATCAACAAATTTCAGAATAATTCATTTAACTTCTGAGAAAATCTGGTAATGTCAGGAAAATTCTGAGAACTTCAGAGAAGATCAGAAGACTTCAGGAAAATTATAATAACTTCAAGGACAATCAGAAGAATTCAGGACAGTTCTGAGAACTTTGCAAGATCTTCAGAAAACTTCGGAAAATTCTGATAATCTTAGAAGCTTAGGAATCTACAGAGAAAATCTGCAAACTTCAGGATAATTCTGAGTACTTTAGAGAAAAAAAGGAGGAATTCAGGGATATTCTGATTCAGTTAAGAGAAAATCAGCGAATTTGAAGAAGGACGGAATATTTCATTTTTGAACTTAAGAGAAAATCAGCCAACTTCAGACATTTTCTGAGATCATCAGAGAGGATCAGAAGACTTCATGAATATTTTGAAAACTTCAGAGAAAATCAGCGAACTTTAGGAATATTCTGAGAACTTTAGAAAAGATCAGCAAACTTCAGAAAACATCTAATACCTTTAGAGAAGATCAGAAAGCTTCAGGAATATTTGAATAACTTCAGAGAAGATCAGTTTTTTTTTAGTTCTTTTTATAAGATCTGAAAACTATCAGGAATTATCGGAAAAGTACAGAAGAAATCTGGGAACTTCAGAGCAGATCAGCAAATTTCTGGAAAAAATCTGAGATCCTCAGAGAACATCAGAAGACTTCAGGAAAATTCTAATAACTTCAGGGATAATCAGAAGAATTGAGGACAATTCTGAGAACTTTGCGAGATCTTCAGAAAACTTCAGAAAATTCTGATAATCTTAAGAAAAAATCAGTAACTTCAGACATTTTCTGATAACTTAAGATAAGATTAGCAAACTTCAGGAAAAATTCAAGACCTTCAGGAAAAATCTGAGAACATCAGAGATTACAAAACTTCAGGAAAAAAACAACGAACTTCAAAAATGCTCTGAGAACTTTAGAGAAACTCAGGAATCTACAGAGAAAATCTGCAAACTTCAGTACTTTAGAGAAAAAAAGGAGGAATTCAGGAATATTCTAATTCAGTTCAGCGAAAATCAGTGAATTTGAGGAAGTTCAGTATATTTCACGAAAATTCTAAGAACTTTAGGAAAAATCAGCGAACATCAGACATTTTCTGAGATTATCAGAGAAGATCAGAAAACTTAAGGAATATTTTGATAGCTTCAGAGAAAATCAGCGAACTTGAGGAACTTTAGAAAAGATCAGCAAACTTCAGAAAAATCTGAAACCTTCAGAGAAGATCAGAAAACTTTAGGAATATTCTGATAACTTCAGAAAATCACCAGAATTAAGCAATTTGTTGAGTTCTTTAGAGAAGATTTCAAAATTCAAAACAGGGATATTCGGAAAAAGTACAGAGGAAACTTCAGGGAAGATCAGCAAATTTTAGGAAAAATATGAGAATTTCAGAGAAAATCAGAAACCTTCAGGAAAATTCTGAGAAATTTAAAGAATACCACGAAGATTCAGAGAAGATCGGCAAACTTCAGGCATATTCTGAGAACTTCAGAAAAGATCAGCAAACTTCCGAAAAATTCTGATAACTTCTCAGAAAATCTGCTAAGGTTAGGAATATTCTGAGAACTTTAAATAAACTTCAGGAAAATTTTTAGAACTTTAGAAAAAAAATCTGAAATCTTCAGAGAGGAATACTCTGCTAATATCAGAGAAAATCAGCAAATCTTTAGAGAAGATCTGACAACTTCAGAAATATTCGGAAAAGTACAGTGGAAATGTGGGAACTTCAGGAATTTTAGAACTTTAGGATCAGGAAATTTCTGAAAAAAATATGAAAGTTTCAGAAAATATGAGAAAACTTTAGGAAAATTCTGAGAACTTTAAAGAAGACCATGAAGATTCAGAGAAGATCAGAAAACTTCAGGCAAATCCTGAGAACTTCAAAGAAGATCAAAAAACTTAAGAAACATTCTTATTACTGCTGAGAAAATCTGCTAACGTCAGTAAAATTCTGAGAACTTCAGAAAAAATCCTGAAAAAAATGAACCTTCAGAGAAGATCAGCAAACTTCAGGAAACTTCTGCGAACATCAGAGAAGATCAACAAACTTAAAAAAAAACTTATAACTTTATAAAAAAAAAAACTGCTAACGTCAGGAAAATTATGAGAACTTTAGAGAAGACCATGAAGATTCATAGAAGAGCAGCAAACTTCAAAACTGTTCAAGATCATCATCTCTAGCTTATCGAAGATTTCAGTAAAGTTCTGTACATTCTGATTTTGGTTACATTATTCATAATCGACATGTTCAATAAGGAGCTTAAAAAATATTTATAGTCTTCATTTCAATAGCAACAATCTTCACATCCCAACTAGCATTGCAAGTTTTATTAAGGGTTTAAAGCATTCTACAAGTCTAAACCATGGTCTACAGAACCCTCCTAAAACCCAAATTGTTATTTGGTCTGCTTAAAATTCAAAAAGGTTTTTTTTGGTTCAAAATGTCTTCAAACAAGTACAAAAACATCTTCAAAATGACTGCGCAAGCAACAATTTGGGTCTTATGGGGGTTCTGTAGACCATAATTTAGACTTGTAGAATGCTTTAAAACCTTGTTTAAACTTGCAATGTTACTTGGGTGCGGGAAAAAATATCTTCACAGAATTTCAAATGTCCTCAAAATGAAGACATGTCTTCAAATCTGGCGTCACTGTGCCAGAAGACAGCTTTATGGTTATGTTTGCAGTCACAGACGACGATACCTGAGTAGACGAAAATATCAAATAACTAGCAAGTTTTACTATTAAAACTGGAGAACAGAACATCAAAAATTGCTATTATGATTGATATAAGAGGTAAAATATTAAAATTAATATCTAAACATCTATGGGCCATAACTGAGCAGTAAAATAGTCAGCTGTTGCCATATCTAAAGAATAGAAAATACATAGCAAATTAATATCACAATCTGCTTTTTTATCTCAACAAGCTATGGTACACACTATGATTATTTCACAGATTTGGTATCATGAATTCAAGAGCTTATTTTGATCTGATAGTAGAATAAGCTAATAATATGTGTTTAAATTGGTAAAATTTCACAGAAATCTTTGAAATAATCTTAGTGTGTTTGTTGATCAATCAATTTAAAGACATATTAATAGCTTATTCTGCTATCAGATCAAAATAAGCTCTTGAATTCATAATACCAAAATTTCATCACAATATTTGCTATTTATCAAAGGATACTTTGATAGCAGAATAAGCTATTAACTTGTTATAGCACACAACTTGAATATAACATAATAAGATATTGAGTAAAATTTGTTATTATTTTGCTCTAGTTTTGCTATTCGCCTCTACCCGGGTACAACACCGCCATCACGTTCATTGTACTTCACTTCGTGATGACACAGAGAAACAAAACCAGATTACTTATAATTACCTCGTTTTGCATCGCCACCCTAAGAGTAATTTTTCATTAAGATGAACCGGCAAAAATTTTGTTGCTTAACTGAGCTATTAAATAAATAAAACAATAGACTAGAGGGATTTACGCAGTTGCTTGAAGTCTGTTAGGATGTATTCAAATGATACGGTCTATTAAGAGGTCATAAACCACAGATTTGGATGTGAACGGTTGGGTTGTAAGAAGTTTGTGGACCTAAAGGCGCAATCTGCAATAGGTGTAGTATAGTTAGAGGCCTCTCGTAACGGTACCGCAAGAAGGACCATATCAACAAAACTATTGATCTTCTTCTCTCTGATCAGGTTGTTCAGTGCCTCAGAAGATGTAGCAACGATCATCGTTAAGTTCAATTCGAAACAATATTGTACCACCTTTAACCCCTCCCAAAGCGCCGCACTCTCCACTCAAGAGCCTCTGTGGCAGTGGATCATTAATTCCAATTACCGCTTTTCGATGATGATTTTCACTCTCACCATTGAACCGTTCGTTCGTTGTACATTTGATCTAATCTCAATATCTCCCGCTTTCTTCCACACAGAAACCTCCATCGTGACTCGGAAGGAGAGTAATGACTACCATCAGCAACAGCAATTGACCGCGCGAGCCGTGCACATCTTGATCCACATATCCATCCCGAAGATGTGATACACAGCGTCCCAAGGCCGAAGAAATGAACGAAAGTACCGATAGCCAGTACCGATCACCTCCATTGAAATAGCCCCATATGCAAGAGTGCAACCTTTTTCACCTCGAAAACACTTCTTCCTAAGCAAAACCATTGGAATTCGTTCCTCAACCCAACAGACAAATCTTCATGCCCAGCGGCATTCTCCGCTGATGCGAATCATGCAGCGAAAGGTGCAGAACGGGGTGGCCCCCTTTCGGTTAGGACCCTGTCGCAGCGGTAGCAACAGCAGAAGCAGAACATTTACTGCGACCCTAGTAGGTCTGCTGGCGGTCGGTTTGCTCCTCGCCGCAGCAACATCTCCGGTCCAGGGTGGTATAATTGTCAAGCGACAAGCGGACGATGGTGCCGCCACTGATGCACCCATCGCAGCCGAATTAGAAACGTCCACTCCGGCTCCTACCACTCGAACGGTAGAATTCCAGACCGAAGATGCATCATCGCCTCGAGAGATAGAATTCGGATACGATAACGAGAAAGATGTGTCATCAGAGCAGGCAACAGTGGCTGAACTGCGACAGGTTGCCGAATCCACGGAACCAACAGAGATCGTGCCTGCTTCGGTGACGGTAGCTCCCACGGTGCCCGCTCCGAAGGCACCACCCACTCAGCCAGATGCCCCAACGACCGTGGTGGCTCCCACCAGGGATGTGTCTCCTTCTTCCACCGAATCCGGTGAGCAGAAATTTGCACGCCTTAGGTTGGAACAGGATAGCCCAACGGAAGCGCCAACGCTGGAAGTCATAGACGAAGAACCGGTAGCGACCACAGAGCAACCCATCGATGAGGCTACCACCACCGTCAGTATCGTTGAAGAACCGGAGGTTGACAGCTCTAAGCCAGTCGTAGAAGCGGAGGCGGAGGATGAGGTCAATGTGCCGCGCTTCGATTTGGACAGGTGAGTTGATTGGGATAATTTTTAGAAAGTATCATTCGAAATTTTTCCCGATAATCGGGTTCCATCTCTCACGGCGGCCAGTAGAAATTGGTACACGCAAACGGTAATGGGTAAACAGCTTCACGCGTTCCGATTTGCATACTGATTGCCTGCTGCATGGCAGAAGATATGCAAAGCAACTTGGCGCGATCGATTTTTCAATTTCCTTATCCCCTTTTTCCGGATGTGTACATTTTGCCGTAATCGGCAAACGTTGTTCGAGCGTGTGGATCAATTTCACTATACAAAAAGTAATTTTTTCCATTATCTACCTGTAACAGAGTATTAATGATTGTTTCTCCATTATCGTATTTGGAGGATCACACACATTCGAGAGATCGAATTTTGTCAGGGCCGTAGTCAGGATTGTGGGTTCAGGCCTCTGTGGAAGTTTTGTGTTCGAAAACGTCACTTTCTAGTTACAGTCTTCTTTTTGGCCTTTGAAGTCCCAGTTGAAACAAGACGCCAGCTGACAATGTAGTGTTCTTAGGGCACTTCCACAGTTGTTATTAGCGAGCTTTTTGAGCTTGTCCCATTTCTTCATACGTGTAGTGTTGTATGCAGTGTGATAAGTATAACAACGTTGAAGATCACGGAAGACTGGCAACTCTTTCAGAATCTTAAGCATAAATACAGAAGCGCTGCATCTGAACTAAATTAGATCCATCACATAGACAAATAAGCTAGGGGTGATTCACATATGACATTCACAATTTTTTCGGTTTTTGTAACCGCTTTCCTCCCCCCCTCCTTATGACACGCTTTTTCTTATCTTCTCCCTACTCTCTCCCCTCCCCTCTCCTCAAGAATGAACCTTTCACTATAATGATTTACGGGTAACCTTGCTATCTATTCTAATGTGAAATTTCATCAGCTACAACTTTGCCGAAAGGTCACTGTCTTTGCTTCGGTCACTTGCAAAACAAGATATCAAATAACAGTACCAAACTAAAATGTCATATGCACAGCAAAAAAATAATTTTGATATCACATCAAAGTGGATGCACTACAATCATCATGTAATTTTTATGACCACATAAATAAACAAATGCAGTAAAAGCAGCGTAATGTCAGTTCATGCATTGTATTAATGATATTTTTTTCCTTTTTAGCAAGTAATATTACACCATATTTTCGACATGATTGTAGTGCATCCACTTTGACGTGATATCAAAATTATTTTTTTGCTGTGTGACAGGCTCTGTCATACGCCATTTTCGCCGAAGACCGTCTCGAATGTATGTATTTTAGTTTTTCTCATAATAAGAGCTGCTAGTGTTGTGCTTGTGTGAATTCTGAAAATAGCAAGCAACGATGCCCTAGTAATAGCATTTCTGATCAGAAATGGTTTAATTTACACATGTCACAATTCACACATGTCATATGATAATTTTGTTTCTTCTCGAATGTTGTTCTACCGTTTGTGTTGTGCAAGAGACACGACGGTATAGCATGAGAGTACGAATACAAACAGACTGTCGCGCACGACAACGAAGCGAGTGTAGTAAAAAACGTCAACAGTTTCAATCCCTTCTTGGGAGCATTTATTGCTTGCAGCACCGAAAACACACCAAGATGATTAGACAGAAACTAGCACTTTTGTCACACCTGAAAACGCGCATAGTTGTGCAATAATTAGTTATTAATTTATTCGAACCCGCTCTAGTCGTCAGATTTGGAATGTTTTGACAGCGATTTGTTTTAAAAGTACACGTGTTTAGGGTGAAAGTAGAGAACCAAACGAGCAAAGTAAATAAACATTACTGTTCGCTCAATTCACCAGAAAGGAGTATTGTTCTCAATGATGGAAAAAGTGTTTAATTATTTTCACCAAATATTTTATATCTGTTATTTATTTATTTATCGTTGATTAAATTAAATACAACATTTATCAGTGATAAAAAAAAAACAATTTCGAATCGGAGCGTTTTATTCAGTTTGATGGTAATAAAAATGATTAAGCTGCAAGCAAAACAGTTAAATATGACAAAAGTTACTCTGTCATGGAGCGACTGTCATACTTATTTGATCGAACTTTGTACGGCTCATGGATTCTCAGCCTCATTTTTATTCAGTTCCGGTCGAACGTTCAAATTTTCCCAACAGAATTGCGGCACTGTATGAAAGTCTTCCAGTATTGAAAAAGTTGTACTAGATGGAAGACGAGAAAAGAAAAACCACGTCGAAAACCAGACATGTTTAATTTGAAATATCACAAAAATGTTAAAAGTTGCTGTTTCTTCCGTGGGAAATGTTCTTAAGCGATTCCGTGATCGCAAGATCGAAAGGTTCCAATCAAGTGTCGTGCTGGAACTTTGGATCAGCAGCTGAAATGGAAGGTGTTGAGGTCGATCAACAGAAACCCAGGATCAGTATCTCTTTTTCTCATTTACCCTCACACGCACTTAAAATCGCTTCTACCAAGCGTAGATGAATTTGGTTCTTTAAGCGTATTGAGGTAAATGCATAACCGTAATCTGCATTAAAAATGGAACCCAAACCCAAAATTTCATCAATTTTGGTACACTGGAACTATTTTATATAAGCACGATTACATTTGCAAAAATCACCTTATTAGCGCCCCTCTGTGTCACTTTGTATGGGAGCGAGCTGTCAGTTTGTTAGTTTAGTGTCAAACAGTGAAGATATTATTTTGCTTTTAATCTTGATTTAAAAATCGAGATGAAAGTGTGTGGGTTCGAAAAAAATATCGCTGTGCTCAGAAAACGAAGCTCTTTCAGATGATGTATAAAAAACGATACATTTTTCAAAATTAAAGAACCCAATTGCGATTGTTTTGAAAATCTTCGTTGTCAACGTAAGAGTGAAATGAACAAATGAGTTCATTATCCATCGACGATTCAACGCTTGAGCATAGACAAACAGACATAACACTCACAATCACATTCATCGCAAATAATGTTTTAGTTGGGAATGTGCTTGCATTTGTCATGGTGGCGCCACTGAAGCATTGAGCAAGCCACCACATTTCGAACTTATCAGTGATGCCAGTTCTTTTTCACGTCTAGTTAGTAGATCTCAGCTCTTGAAAATGATAAGTGGTCAAGGCATCCCACTGGAGACACATACCACATCTGAAGAATACAGAAAAAAGATATTACGCTGTACGATTAACACAGAATTCGAGAACAAATCATGTTGATGACTGTAACATTCTATCAACTTTTACCAGTTATTATTGTTCAATACTTCACCATGAATTTCATTGATTGATACATATTATATTTTTTGCTGGGGAGGAGGGACATAGTGAACAGGTGGGGCATAGTGAGCATCCCGCAGTTTGGCTCTGGATCTCCAGATGCATGAAACAAATCAACTGGTAGTAGGTTCAATATCATTATGATATTGATCTTAGCACCAACCAATTTATTCCGAACGGCCGGAAGTCCAAGCTGGTGCACGGGATGCTCCCTATGCCCCACCTGTTCACTATGTCCCTCTTACCCCTACACACATTAAAGTGATGAGCGGTGGTAGAAAGGGCACTAATTACCTCGTTAAAAAAAAAGCACACTAAACAAATAAAAATCCCTAAAAAAAGCCTTAGCTTCTGTGAATGTTTCCTACGGATCTGTATTTCTGCAGAATTCAAACAATTCTATAGGTCTACGGAAAATTTCGCAGAACCGACATCACTGACTACTATCTGTTTTGTTTTTATTCAACACAGCTGACGCGTTGACAGAACGAGGGAAAAGCAACTGGTGAAAAAATTGGCATAAACGAGGGATGCTCTGGTTGCACATCAATGCTTGGGAATGTGGATGATAGATGGTACTAGTGCGCATGCAAAATACGCTTGACGATATTTTTTGAAGAATTTTCTTCTAAGAGTTATGTCTGTTTGTCTGTGGCTTGAGTTTCCAACCCAAAATTTTCAAAATCGGAAACGATCCTCAAAAGCAAAAAAATCAAATTAATTTTGCCATAAATGGTTATTTTGAGTATTATCGATTGCAGAGCCTAAAACTTCGAAATTATCATCAAATATCATCAATAATCTTCCAAGCAACATAACACGTTCCACAACGGTATATTTTTGTAAAACAAAAATAAACATTTCGCATTTGATACTCAAAATCATCTCCACCAAGACGATTATGAATATTGAAATGACAACAGAACAGGCGATGATGAATACGCATCTTTGAATGAACAAAAACAATTTTCGACTTCGAAACTCAGCGGTTGCCTTGATCAACAGCATTTTATCATGTCAAAATTCAAATTCATACAGGTACCTTGTTGGTTTATCTTTCAAGGTTGCCTTAATTTTCAGCTTGTTTGAGTGTAGAAGAAATGATTTTTATCAGCACTGCCCAGGACTCTCGGATCGGGATGTCACCAAAAAATACGGTTCCAGCCGTAGTACGGTCCGGAGGATCCATCTGCGACCAGGTAACCGTTCATCCCGTGCCTCCAAGCAACTGAACAGGACGATGAAGCAGAATCTAGTAGCCAGAACACTAGAAGTTGTACGACCGGGTTCTAGCAAAGTACAAAGAATGCCTTCTCATGGACGATGAAAGATATGTCAAGATCGATTTCAGGCAGGTTCCTGAACAACAGTTTTATCTGGCCCCAGCAAATTTAAGTTTGTTTTCGTCGATAAATTCACCCGGATTCTGATGTTGATGAAAAAATGGCCGCTGAGGTTGACCAGTCCAGTGTGCGGCAGCTGAAGGCAAGAATTGACCACTTTGTCAAGCAGTTTTGGCGTGACTTTCTACCAACGATTTCACAAAACTGGACCAAATTATTTCTATTTTTTTATGAAACGCACAAATGTTGGCTACTTTTCTCGAGATTCTAGAAGAAAAAATCTCAAAATAATGTTTTATTCCAAAGCTCGAGTGGTAGTAAACGTCATTTTAAGTGCTCAAATAAAATGGTTAATTGGCGTTGAAGGGCACCGTCGAAAAAATTTCTCTTCCAGC